CATGTAGGTGCAAAATATATTCATATATATATATATACGGTCAGACAAATCCCGACACCAACATCATGAATCCTATACAAAACTTTTCAGTGAGTTTCTCAAACTAGAGAAGGAATCTAGATCCGAAAGACACCAACAAAACATGACCATACATTACCCAAATATCAGCGTTAAGCAAGTGAAGCAGTGCCAAGACAACAAAACTTAAAGAAGAGATGGAGCATGCCGAGCATGCCCTATACTTAGATCCCTCTATATAGATGTAACTTGCACTTTGGCTTGCCGGCTGCCAGAAGATGCGGAAGCATTCGCATAAAATCTTCAACCATTCAGTCAAATAGAAAACGCGCAGGAAAAATCACGCTTTCCCTGGAAAATGCACAATCGTTTTGGCTGTCACTCCCGTTTTTTTGGATGAGATTTTGCACTTGTTTACTTTATCACACGCGACGGAAGCCGCCTTTTCCTTGTCTAGGTCATGCCGGCCAGGGCAGGAAAAGCGCTGGAGATGTCATGGGCCACAAGTGTGCAGGATTGTTTGATATTGCGTATTGATGTGTATTGTGTCTGTGCGGGCAGATGCAACACACCATTGAAATATCGACTAATATTATGAGAGCTCACAACATGCCATACCACCACACCAGCAAGAGACCACCCATACACCACCAAAAGTACCTTTTCAAATGCCACCGCAACACCAGAAAAATACCTTGCAAACATAGTTAAACATAGCATCAAAAACACCAGCAACACAGCCAAAACATGTTGCTTTTCTTTGTGTTTACTGTATTTTTTGCAAACGCCTTGCATGAACCCAAAACTCAACAACCCGAAACAAGATAAAGGCCAGCACGTAGCCCAAAATGGCTCAACATGAGCCCAATATTAGCCCAAAATGGGTCAAGATAAGCCCAATATCAAATATGGTCCCAGCGTTTCCCCACATGACTCAACATCTGCCCAACATGGGCCAACATGGCTCCATATTAGTGCAACATGCGTCCACATAGGCTCAACACAACATCGGCCCAATATAGCTAACAACATGACCCAACACGGTCCCAACATAGACCAAGGTGGCTCCACATTGGCCCAACATGGGCTGAAAAGGACGCAGCAACAACCCAACATGGCTCGATTTTTCTCAACATGAGCTTGAGACAAAGCCAGCATAGCCCAAGTGCAACATGACCGAAGAAAAAGGGAAAACAAGGAACAACAAATAGCATCAAAAACAGCAGCAACGCAACCCAAAAATTGCGTTTTGCTTGGTATTTACATTTTTTTGGAAAACGACTTGAATAGACCAAAACGCAACGACACTGAAATGCCCAAGTCCAAAATAAAGGCCAACAAGACCAAAGCTCAACAACACTGAAATGCCCAAGCCCAAAATAAAGACTAACAAGACCAAAACCCAACAACACTGAAATGCCCAAGTCCAAAATAAAAGCCCAACAAGACCAAAACGCAACAACACCAAAATACCAAGTCCAAGATAAAGGCCAACAGAATCAACAAATACCCGAAAATAGCCCAAAATCGCTCAACATGGTTCAACATGAGCCCAGCACGGTGCCACCAAAACAACAACGAACAAAGAAAGAAAGAAACAAACACACACACAAATTAAAGGACCGGATAACCCCACAAGCCAACTTCTTCCAATAATGAGCAACAAATGTTGTAGCGGGACGGGGAAGGAAGGAAAGACAAAGGAGGTGGTGGAGGATCGAGACGTAAAAAAAAAGTTGTGTGTATGACAAAGTTGTATGTGAAAGATGGTGCGTGACAAAGAATTATTATGTGTGTGACAAAGTTGTGTGTGAAAGATGGTGTGTGACAAAGTGGTGTGTGAAAGATGGTGTGGCGAAAGATGGTGTATGACAAAGTCGTGTGTGAAAGATGGTGTGGTGAAAGATGGTGTGTGACAAAGTGGTGTGTGAAAGATGGTGTGTGTGAAAGATGGTCTGTGACGGTGTGTGAAAGATGGTGTCTGACAAAGTGATATGAAAGATGGTGTGTCAAAGGTGGTGTGTCAAAGATGGTGTGTGTGAAAGATTGTGTGTGACAAAGTGGTGTGTGTGAAAGATGGTGTGTGACAAAGTGGTGTGAAAGATGGTGTGGTGACAGATGGTGGGTGACAAAGTGGTGTGTGAAAGATGGTGTGTGAAAGAGGGTGTGTGACAAAGTGGTGTGTCAAAGATGGTGTGTGACAAAGTTGTGTGTGAAAGATGGTGTGTCAAAGTCAAAGATGGTGTGTGACGAAACGCCACACTGCCAGCCCAGTGCCACAAGTGCCACGCCTGCCACGCAAAACGAAGGTGGATGTCACCAAGTGCCACGCCTGCCACACGAAGCAAAGGTGGATGTCACCAAGTAACATGCGGCCTGCCACACAAAGTACCGCGGCGTCACCGGCGACCAAGCGTGCCCAAGCATGGACAAACGCGACACCAGAGCCAGCCCGGTGCCATAAGTGCCACGCCTGCCACGCAAAACGAAGGTGGATGTCACCAAGTGCCACACCTGCCATGCGAAGCGAAGGTGGATGTCACCAAGTGCCACGCCTGCCACGCAAAGTACCGCGGCGTCACCGCCGACCAAGCGCGCCCAAACGCGCCCAAGCGCGCCACCAGAGCCAGTCCAGTGCCATACCTAGGTAAGCGCCACTTCTGCCACGCAAAACGAACGTGGATGTCACCAAGTGCCACGCCTGCCACACGAAGCGAAGGTGGATGCTTACATTCTGCGGATTTTTATAACATGTTATGTTAGTTAAGTTAGTTACTAACATGGTTGTAACATGGTTGTAACATAGGTCTAACATGGTTGTAACATGGTGCTAACATAAGTAATTTTTACATGTTGTGAGTAAAAGTTGCAAAAAGTTATGTAACATCTTTAACTATCTTAAAATTTTAAAAAAATAGACCTATGTTAGCCATATGTTATAAAAAAAAAAATCTTATTTTTTAGCTAACTTTTAAACTTGCTTTTTTCTAGCCTGCAATAGTCCATAAGCACTGTGAATCAAGGTATTGGCATGTGTCAAACACTGGAAAACTTGTCATTTTGGCCAAGCAGCAGAAGCTTTGCACTGCAGTATTGACCAGCCCAGCATGCCAACCTTTGTCCAAAACTGTGGCACTACATTGGCTAATGTTAGAAAGGGCTGTCATACTGTTTGAAATTGGGTGTGGCATAGGAGCAACCTGGACAATATTAACTTCTTGTTATAGCCATCGCCATTTTTGGGCAATTTACAGCAAACCAACCTTGGCTGATAGCCTTTTTTGGCATTTCTTTCCACTTTCCTTTGGAAGCCAAGTTACCATTGGCTAAAGCCATTTCATGCTTACAGGTGCAGCCATGGGTGAAAGATTCATTTTCACCAACCAAGATGGAGATGTAGTGGAGCTGGATCCAACAGAAGACTCCCAATGTGTGCTTGCCATCAATGGCATTCCAAGTGAATATGCCATTCGCAACAGGATCAATGTGCAGCCTTTGCCAGACCACATGCTGCCAAAGCCAGGAGGACATGACACCATGCCTACCATGGTGCCAGAGTTGAATGAAGAGCAAGCACATCCAGTGGAGCCAACAGCCACACCGAGCCAGGAAACAAGACCCAGCTTGAAAAGGAAGGCTGCCACTGCCAATTTGGATGACCTGGAGCTTAATTAAAAAGCCACTTGCCAAGATTCAATGGGTGCTTCCACCCATGGCATGAGTGCATGGTGCAGCAAAATTGCGCTCCATCTTTGCTGATCCTGCATGATGCCATTTCTGGCAATGAGTTTGCATGCTTGGGAATTTCATTACCATGCTTTGGCATTGCTGACATGCACATTTCCATATGCTAGCCATTTTTGGCAATGCTGACACATTTCCATGTGCTAGCCATTTTTGGCAATGCTGACAGATGCCCAGCCATTTTTGGCAATTTTCATTCCAGCTGCAAAGCATCTGCAAGGCTTTGCCCAAGGCCCAGTCTTTAGGCCCACAGCAGCCATGGAAGTTACAATCCAAACATCAGTGGCCATCAAAGTTGGTGATGAGAAAGCCATCTCAATTCCACCCACCTTCTTGGTGGAACATGATGGCCGCTCCTTCTTGAAATTTAGGCCCACAGGGTACCAAATAGTGCAATTGGTATGTGGCTCTGACATATCCAAGAACAGCAGCTTGGCCAATTCCATTTCTTTGGACCAATTGCTGAAAAAGAGAAACCACGAATGGCTGAAACCCAGTTGTGGCCAAGATGTTTTCCAGGAGGCTGACCAGAAGCCACAAAGAAAGAGGAAGCACATCACCAACCCAGAGCTGATCACCATAGATGTCAATGGCCAAGCAGTGGAATGCCTCATGCAAGGCCAAAGGCCAATTAAGTCAGACCTGGCCATTCCCTTGGTTCCAGAGCAGCTCCAAGCTGTGCTGAACTATGTGGCCCAGGATGCAAAAGAAGCATTGACCACCAGAAGGGCATACAAGAGGATCAAAAATGCACCAACTCCTAAGAGGGCCAATGGCGAAGACCAAGAAGGAGACCATGCTGATGAGTGAAGGGCCATATAGAATGCTTTGGCACATCTGCAGGCACTATATACAAGAAAAAAAAGCTTGCTTGCCAGCATTACACCACATGAGTTTTTAGCTGTCTTCCATGCATTTATGGCAATCAAACAGCAGTGTTGGGTAATAGCCATCATGGCAATTTATTTTCCATTGGTGAATCATCTTTGGGAAAACAAGGGGTGCACCAGTTGGAAGAATCCATGGCAACCATTTCCCTGACTGCAATTGCTGCTGCCTTGCATGGGCTATATGGCCACAGCACCATGGCACACACACACACAGACACACAAGAAATCCATACAGGCATGACACATGCACTTCAATCACATATGTTCTGAAGCATTATCAGTCACAATGACATTGTCATGGCAGGCCATGTCCATCAGTTTTGCAATTTGCTGAAGCCTGTGGTTGCCATGGCCCAGCCACAGCAAGCCATGAGACTGCCACCTGCAGTTGTTACCAAAGTCAATGAGATCATGGACTCCCAGAAGCCAATCAACACACAGGTGGACCAAATCCTCAATGTGTTTCTGGGACATGGTTTTGCCAGGAAGCAAACCATCAAGCCATGCCAGGTGCTTACCCATCCTGAAAACCGCGGGAAAACCATGCTGAATGTCCATGATTGTTGGCATAAAGGGATGCAAATGCTCCAGGTGGGCATGAAGAGGTCCCTGTTGGGGGAAAGCATCTGTGCTGAGCTTTCCACCAACAGTGCCACCAGACAAAAGCAGATGGACAAGAATGTCCAGATGGTTGCAGCAGCCAATGGGTCCTTGGCTCCAGTGACTGGCCATGAGTGTTTCTGGGCAACCCAAGCTATTTTTTTCACCAAGCTCAATTGGGACAATTTATACACTTTCTTTTTGCTGCTTTTTGCAAAAGCACCTTGAGCAGCTTCAGGCTTCTTGTCTTTGAGCTGCAGCCATACCACTGCCTTTCTCAGAGCTTTGCAGCATGGCTGCCAAGGGCCAAATGAAGAGCATGTGGAAGCATCCAAATCAGACCCATCTTGGGATTTGATCCACAATGGATGGGAGTGGGTTGTCCTCAACCCACTGGTAGAAGAAGAATGGCCAGTTTTACCAGGCATTTTGCAGTCAGCTCTCAATTCTTCCAATGCAATTGCCAAGGCAGCCAATGAATTAGAAGTTGCTGCCACTTTGGCCCAATTCTTCATGGGTGGAATGTCTCTGACCCAAGCACTGGCCAAGGCCAGGGATGGAGCCATGGCTTGCCAGGAGAGTTTGGAGCACATTGGCTACTTTGTGCAGCATTATGCTGGAGGAGCAGATTTTCCATTCATTTCCTTTCTCCAACGCTTCAGCTCTTTGGAAAGATTTGTATTTCTTCATTTGCCCACAATGATATATGCTTTTTGTCTTTGTATTCTGTGGCAATCCAAGCCATGACACCTGAGGTACATATTTCAATTGCCAGCTGATGATTGGCCAGGACCTGATGGCAGCCCTAGCCACCACCAACTTCAGAGTTCAAGGCTGTGTCTTTCCCCACCTCAGGGTTGCCATTTGGGCAACATTAAGTTCCAGCTCCAAGAACCAAGATGGTTTCAGCAAGATCTTGACCAAGAGCGATGTGGAGAAACTTCGTGCCCCAAACATGTCTGGCAAGATCATGTCCACAGAGACCATGCTTGCTGACTCTTGGAAAGTGGCCCAAGATCCAGCCCTGGACAAAGACAATGCCACCAAGGCTTATGGTAGGCTCTGTGTGCGAAGCATCCTCTTTCTTGTGTCCAAGCAGAAGTTCTCCAGAGAAGACCATGAATACCAGAACTCTGCTGAAATTCTCAAAGCTTTTAGTCAAGAAGTGCAAGCAAAAGCATCCATGGATGACCACCTGGACCAAGAGGAACTGAAGGTCACAGACACCAGCCAGGCCACAGCCCAAAGCATGGCTTTGCTCCAGAACCAGCATGTGAAGCTTCACCAAATGCACCTTGAATGCAGCTGGGTGTGACCAGTTGATGTGTTCCAAATATCATTTCTCCTTCTTTTGTTTTTGCCATAACATGGTAACCCATGTCAGGTACCAGAACAACAAGGAGCACTATGGCAAAGTCTTTCAACTCCAGGCTTTGTCTGAGACCACAGGGACCTTTGTCCACCAAGGTGTGCTGGAACCTCCAACTAGCATTGAAGTTCCATTTGGAAAGTTTTGCCAATGGAGGCTGACCAAGGCCAAGATGCCAAAGGTGTGTCCACAAGGCCAAATTGACCAAGGACTGTACCAAGGCAACCAGCTGGCCCAACAAGAGCTTGCCAGAGTGGAAGTGGAAATGGCCTTGCACCTGGCCATGCAAGCCAACCATACTGCCAATGACTGTCTGGCCTTTGCTTTGAACCCACCTGGTGTCTACATCTTGAAAGCCATCAAAAAGGCCAAGGCATTGAAATTTGTAGCCATTGGCAATGTCTCCAAGGTGAAAAAGAAGGAGCAGCCAGAACAAGACCAACAGGTGCAGATCCAACACATGGTCAAGCACAGAGGTGAAGAATGGTCCATCAGTGCTTGGAAGCAGGACCAGACATTTGACCAAGACAGCAAGAACCATTTGAACCCATACTGGTGGGTCAAACCATGTGAAGATGAAGAAGCAGCCAACATGGAGTTTGCCACTGTAAGCCAAGAGGGAATCACCTTGCCAGTCCTGCAAAACTCCAAACCATTGGCAGCCAAGGAGCAGCTGTTCTACTACAAGCCCAAGAATAACCAGCAGGCAGCTATTGGCAGCCAAGGCCCAGCTGCCAAGAAGAAGAAAACCAGCAAGTGATTGTGTGGAAAAGCCATCAGTTTTGCATTCCATGTTGGAAGAAGTCAAAGACCAAGGCTTGCTTGGTAGCCACCAGAGGCAAGCCAAACACCAATGGAAGACTGCCATGGATGTGGCTCCCCCATAGCCTTCCAATTTTTCAATGCAGACTTCGAGAAATGCAGGAAAGAAAATGTTTTTTGTTGTGTTTGGGAATCTTGCCTTGTGCCTTGCCATGAAACATCTTTGAGCATTTAAACATATACCATTGTTTGGCACTGAGCATTTACCCAGCACCAGCAAAATTCCAATTGAAAGTTGGTCATAGGCTTTGCCATTTTTTGGCAATGTCCACTTGGTGTTATCTGCCATCTAGCCTTTTTTGGCAATATGGCAATTTTGTGGCAGTTGAGCCATATCCATTTTCACATTTGAAGAAGTCCTTTTATGCCATTGCTTTGGCTCCAGGCACCAGCAGCTTCCTATACCTTGCTGCCAGCCTCAATCCAAACCCAACAGGGGATGTCCAACCCACAAGATGGCAGACCAGGAAGCAGCTCCAGAACCAGGTTGGAAGAGGCATTGGACACCATGAGCAGCCCAGCCCATAGTGACATTGATGGCTGGAGGGGGCCACCACAATTCCCAAGGCCAGAGCGAGGTGTTCTGCTTGCCATGCACTATGCCAGGGTAGACCATGTGAGGGCCATTGGTGGTGATCCATATTGGCTGTACTATTCCTGTGCCACCAGAGACTGCCAGTCATGGATCTGGTGCCAGAAACTTGTACTGGGCTACACCAACTGTACCAAATGCGGAAGGCCATGGAATGACAGCCTAACCAGGGGCTTTGTCCAGCTAGCTGTTCCTGCTGACCCAAGGAGGGCCACTGTGCCACTGGGAGCAAATGGTTTGCCAGCTCAGGGCAGCTGACCCATGACAACCTGACAACCACAGTGCCAAGGTGTGGAAAAAAGTACCTTTTGCTTGGCTGACTTTATCTAGTTTTGTTTCCAAGTTCTTTTCCATTGGAAATTGGTAGAAATTTTGTGTAGCTGTCCTATGGCACTTCCACACAACATGCTTTACACAAAGCCATTATAAATGAATTCCACATGAGCCATTTGAATGGCATTAAGGGAGCAGTAATGGAGCTGCAATGACAAACATTCATGTTATGGCAATATATGGTTTGTATATATGACATAATCATGATAGTTATCCATGCCATATCAAAAGCCTAGTTGCATTCCAACCTAGCTGTAACCAGTAGCCAATATACAGTTTCCAATAGTGTATGGTTGTAATTCAACAACATATCCCAACAACCTGTGCCATGTTTTGGCAATACAATCTTTTTGGATGTGCAACTGAGGAACATGTGCCATGCCTTGGCCACCATACCAAAGCCTTTTTTGGCAATTCCAAGTCCTTGTGCCATGCTTTGGCCACCATATCAAAGCCTTTTTTGGCAATTCCAAATCCTTGTGCCAAACTTGCCATTTTTGGCAATTATATTTCAGTCTTTTTTTGGCAATCCCATGCCAATAGTGGCATGTGCATTTTTTTTTGGCAAAACATGGCATGCTGCAGCATGTTGCATTTTATGGCAGGCCATGATGTGATTCCATAACCATTGCACCAATTTCCATCTTGCATGCTGCTATCAGCCACCTGCCCAAGTGAAAAGCGACCAGCCCACCAGCGCACCCCAGACCCAGGGAAGAAGCCATGGCCAATATGTCCAAGCCAGCTGCAAGCCATAGCTCCATGAATGCCAAGGTCATGAAAGGCATGGCCATGAGGACCATGAAGGCCATGAAGGCCATGAAGGCCATGAAGGCTGCCACAACCACAAAGACCATGAAGACCGCCATGAAGTCCAAGGACACCAATTGGGATGCAGAGGCCATGATCATGCCTCCAGGGCCATCTTTGGCCATTGCATGCCAAATGTGCAACCAGTCCTGGGTGTGGCTCCATAGGCTGTATGTGCTTCCATGCTGCCAGATGTGCCAGGCACCATGGACTGAGTCCATACCAGCAGGTGTGCACCAGAGGATGTCCAGCCCAAGCGAACCCATGACCAAGGCAGGGACCACCAAGAAGCCTGCCACCAAGATGAACCAAGAGTCCAAGGCAGGGACCACCAAGAAGCCTGCCACCAACCAGGAGGCCAAGGCAGTGACCACCAAGAAGCCAGCCACCAAGATGTACCAGAAGACCATGAGTGGCAAGGCCATGAAGAATGCCAAGTAATCAGGCCAGCAGTGGCAAAGCCCATCTTCCATGGCCAAAACCGCAGAGTGGCCATTGCTGATGAAAAAAATGCTCCCAACAGCTTGCACAGCACCTATGCCATCCTCTGGCAATTCATGACTGTGGCCATTTTTTGGCAGTTTCAACTGAAGCCATTTTTGGCATTTCCATATCATGTGGCTCCTCATGGCAGTGCCAGTTTTTGGCAATTTGCAAATGAAACCACTCTTGGAAGTTCCAAAATAGTAACTGGAAAAGAGGTAGCTTTTTTTGGCAGTGCCAAATTTTGGCAATTACATTTTTTGCAGAGGCCATTTGTTGGCACTTCTTGGTTGGAGCTGGTTCCAGTCATGATTATACAATTTACATCACTGGCCATTTTTGGCAATTTATACATATATCACCATGACTTGGCATTACCATGAATGTATTCATGCCATAGTGTTTCAGCATTCATGTTTCTGACATATGCATTTGTTTTTCTCACTGCCTATGTTTTTTCAATTCACTGTTTTATTCAATGTTGCTATTTTTATTTAATTACAGTAGGTATTTAAGATTTTCTTTTGTACTTAAAGGCATCCCTTTTTCATTTCTACTATTTATAAATTTAGATTGATGCAAGTCATGGCCATGGTTTGCATAAACTTGATTTCCCAAAAGCAAATGTAGTGAAACAAAAACAAGAACCATTAAGATGCAAAGGTTTCTTCACTATTGAATTGAAATACATTTGGCAAGGTTCAATTCCAGTGTCTTGCAATAAATGGTTATTACCACTAAGTGTTCAGTGTATTATTCATGTGGATTTACTGTTTCATTTCTGCAATGGATAGGTTTGTTGCAGTGAGCCTTAAATCAAACTGTGTTTTGTTGTATGTGTAATGTTTGTGTTTGTAAGGTAGAAACCAAATGGTACAACACTTTCTGTGATTGTTTTGCAAGTTAAGAAAAAATGGAAACACATTTTTGATTAGACTAAAGTGATGCAAGAATAATGTTGTTATCCTTAAGTAATGTATCTTTTGACAATAAAATACTATTTTTAATTATTGCACCATGGCTGTGTTATTTCAATTAGTAATAGTTGTGAAAAACTGTTTCAAATGTTGACCAATGAAAAAAAATACAAAAAAATGTGTGGTTTCAAAAGGAAAAAAACAAAAATACAATTTATAAATAGTTTTCAATCTTTCAATTATATTTTTTTTGTTTGAAAAAAAAGAAATGAAACCTAAATTTAACTGTTTGCAGATAAAATTTTAGGTTCAACCTACTGAATCTAACTATCAGGCATGTGCAGTTAGGTTCAGTAGGCTGAACCTAACTGCATCTTCCTGGCAGTTAGGTTCAGTAGGCTGAACCTAACTGCACATTCCTGGCAGTTAGGTTCAGCCTACTGAACCTAACTGCACATTCCTGGCAGTTAGGTTCAGCCTACTGAACCTAACTGCACCTTCCTGACAGTTAGGTTCAGTAGGCTGAACCTAACTGCACCTTCCTGGCAGTTAGGTTCAGTAGGCTGAACCTAACTGCACATTCCTGGCAGTTAGGTTCAGTATACTGAACCTAACTGCAACTTCCATGTAATTAAACATCAAGCCAAATCAAAATAAAAATTATGTTTATTATTTTTTCAAAAAATATTTTACAAAACTATGTGTTGTTTTGTTTTTTGTTTTTTCTTCAGTTTAATTTACTTATTGCTTAGTAACTTGAATATTTCATGTATGTTTAACAATGCAGAAACTTTGTGGCTCCAGGCAAAAAAACAATAAAATTTACATCAAAGCAGGTTAGTTTATAGCTATACATACATAAATCTATATATAGTAATATATATTTAGAACTTATTATTATACTTTCAAACATATTATGTAATGGATAATGCAATTGGTTTTAGAGTTACATTTTCAATATATATAATATTATCTATATCATTATACTTATGCACACACTCTACAATCAAACATGCAGCATTTACATACACTAAGGGCAATATAAGTCATAACATGTATATATGCACACACACACATACATACATACATATATATATATATACACCTCTGGAACCACCATCAATTCGATCTGACTTCATCTCCAAAGGAGATCCACCCAGCTGCCATGGACCTTTGTGACCCATGGAGTGATCCTAGTGACCATGAGGACCAAGATGACCAGGAAGATGCCCAGGAAGGGTCTGACCAAGCCAGTGAAGATGCTTGGCCAGATCCAGAAGAGCAATGGCCAGACCCATGGCAATTTTTAGGTCCACCACAGGAGGCACCCATGCCAGCCATACAACCACTCCAACATCCAGAAGAAGAAATGTTGGCCATGGCTTGGGGCGACCTCCACTCAGCCAGGAATGATTGGCCAGTAGCCATTGCTCCAGCCAGGGAAAGAGACCAGATGGAGGTGGAGGATGCCAATTCCATGGCCCAGAGGGGAATTGACCAGGATGAGGAGCAGGCCAGCTGGTATGAAACCATGGCAGCCATTGCATCCACCCTTGAGTGCGACTGTAAGACAGAGCCACCATCTTCTGAACCATCAGAGGAAGACCCAGCACTACAGGAACACCAAGACCAAGACCAAGAAGAATACGAATGTATCAAAGAGGAAGCCATAGCATACCAGGATGCCAAAGAGGAGCCCACAGAACTGAGTCAGGCCAAAATGGAAACCAAAGCTGAAGTCCCAGAGCCAGCTCTACCACCCAGCCATGCTACCCCACCACCACCATGGAGAACAACAACATG